GAGGTAAATTGCAACTTGAGTTGATGATTAAGTAATCTAGGTAATGTTGGTTCAACTAAATATTTGCAGTAGTTCAATTTATATTCTATTTTGACGTATATATCCCGTTGATGTTTCTAATAATTTGTTGGACATGGACTGCCTTCCGTTGCAAAGGTTGTGGCACGGTTTAATGAGATTGTGACGAAGCTGCTTTTGGAGGGAGCTTTGGACACGTTCAAGAGATATTCAGTTAAAGAAGAAGACATTGATGTATGTAGTTATCTGGAACCCTTTCAAAAGTTGGCTACTTTTTTATTTTTTTATTTTTCGCTTATTGTGTTCCTTTGTTGGTAGATTTGTTCACCTAGATTTCCATCTCTACTGGAATAGGTAACAGATGCCTAATCTACATATCTTGAATGTGTGAAGGGTATAATATCACTGGATTTCTGATCCATGACTTGATTTTCTATATTATAAGTGATAATGTTGTCTTATTTGGAGTGACTGATTGATGGGGTGATTTTGATGCCTGGCTAGCTCCATATTTGTCATACATGACTATTTTTCCTCGATGTGCTGGATTTCCTGTCCTGGGGCTTGTCAGACCTGCCTGTGCATCTGATGGTAAAGAATCACCACCTTTTGGATAGGTTATAACCAAATGTACTTTGATTAGTCAGGGATTCACCTTAATGAATTGCTAAATTGAATCACTTGCAGAAGAAGTGAACATTTGCTGTGGTAAAACAAACCTGGTCTAACATGATTTAGAATATTTTCAGATCACTGTCATGTTAAAACATGAGTTGTCTATTATTTATTGGGGTGAAATTGTTGGTGCTGATGCGGATAAATGTAGCACAAATCATGTAGTGCTTTCATCATTCCAATTGTTTTACATGGTCTGTGGTCATTGTTTTGCTTGAACACTCATTAATAATAATAGGTTCAATTATTGTATGTATGCATCAGGTAGTGTGGGTTCCTGGTAGTTTTGAAATTGGTGTCGCTGCAGAAAAGCTTGGGAAGTCTCACAAATATCAAGCCATATTGTGCATTGGAGCTGTGGTATGATTTCTCGTCAGAATACCTAAATCTTGCTATGCTGCAAGATTTTATTGGTCCTTTTTTTGCCTTATTTTCTTGCTTAACTGCATCCCATTTTTCTATTATGCCTGAATGTTTGATATTAGAATAAGTTTTGAATGACATGTAACTATCCAAACCTGGATCTCTTGGCTATGCACTGTCGTTGAGGAACTGTGGAAATGGGTAGTGCATTGATTTTCATTTTATTACAACTATTTTGATTCTGTGATAGGAAGTTAGGGTGTAGCTTTGCCATATAACAGGACAGTGGCTAATTATGTGTCTGTGTGGTGAGTGGGTGGTCGGGGGGTGTGTGCACGTGGATTACAGAAAGGATTTTATTGGTTTGGGATTAGACACGTGCCACATTATTTTAAACACTAGTCCTTTTTAAAATGACTATGATGCATTGTGATGGACCTCTTTGGGAGATGTATGGCTTATTGTTATGACAACTTTAGTGAACACTGCTTATTTGGTTGGGCTTGGAGAGGTGGATGAGAAATTTTGTCTGCAGTACCTATTGGTACTTCATTTCTCACAAAAGTATTAGACTTTTCCCTGAAGCATATATTCAGAATTGTTTAGGGAGAAATGCCCTGGCATACAAAGGTTCTCCAGGTGTGTTTTATTCTCTTTGTTTTGTTATGATTGTTCCAATTGTTGTAATTTCTTTTTATGTCTTATGTTTTTGGTTTGAACCGTCATAGAATGCTTCCCTTCCTGTGAGGAATGCTTCTTGACTTTATTCATACCAGTAATTCAATAAGCACTTCAATCTTCTTCCACGATTACTGTTACTATTGTTGAAGGATGTTTAATCTATATGGGTTATATTTCAATCAGGAAGCTCTAAGCTTTTCTTTTATCATCTTGGTGTGATTACAGTCTGCTTGCTATTGATTTCCTAATCAATCAATTTTTATTTATTTATTTTTGGTTGGTAGATAAGAGGTGATACTTCCCACTATGACGCTGTTGCTAATTCAGTGGCATCTGGAGTACTCTCAGCGGGTCTGAATTCAGGTTGGTTCATATGTTTATTTTCAATCTAATCTTGTCCTTTTTTATGGAAATAAAATCCTTATGACAGCGAAAACTTGTAGTTGTAATTTATTCATTGTATTATAAAGTTTCTGCGTCAGTTTAGCAGCACGATCAAGATGACCAGCTCGACCAAGTAGATCAACAATCGTGACATAATGTGAAACCTCTGGTTCTATCTCATACTTCTTCATTAATTCAAAGTAATACTGTCCTTTGTCCAATAACCCAGCATGGCTACAAGCAGTGAGAATACATAGGAAGGTAATCGCATTAGGTTCAATTCCGGTCCTAAGCATTTCCTCAAAGCATCTGACAGCTTCCTTCCCAAGTCCATGTTGGGCACAAGCAGTAAGCATCGAATTCCACGAAACAACATCTCGTCTAACCAATCTATTGAAAACTTTTTTCGCATCCTCAATGCTACCTGATTTAGCATACATGTCAAGAATAGTGTTGCCTACAAAAGCAACAAGCTGTTGGCCAGACTTCATCATATGTGCATGAACCCATTTCCCTTGCTCCAAAGCTCCAATACTAGCACAAGCGGTGAAAACACTAGAATAGGTATAATGGGTAGGTCTAAAATCCTCTCTTTGCATCTTCCAAAACAAACGAATGGCATGCTCTCCCTCACCCTTCCTCGCATGCCCAGCAATCAGAGCATTGTAAGAAACCTCATTCTTGCTCAGCAAACTATCGAAAACAAACCAGGCTTCATCCATTAAGTTGAACCTAGCATACATGTCCACTAGAGAACTACCCACATAAACATTTGAATCAAAACCATAATTAACAACAAACCCATGAACTTGCTTGCCATCCCTGTCATTAGGCACAGCCCCAGCAGCCTTGAGAATACTAGAGAATGTAAACTGGTTGGGCTTGAAACCCAAACGAAGCATTTGAGGGAACAAAACAAGAGCATCAATGGGTCTATCGTTCTGCGAATAGGCAGTGATTAAGGCAGTCCAAGAGACCATATCTTTTGTGGGCATTTCATCGAACATTTGGCGTGCGTCGTCGGGACTGCCACATTTACCATACATATTGAGGAGGGTATTGTGAATGACAAGGTAGTGATTGAATTGAGATCGGCGGAAGTGGGTATGGACGATCCGACCTTCTCGAAGCTTCCCGAGGTGGGTACACTTGTTGAGAAGCTTGGTGTAGATGGTTGGGTCTGGTTCAAGAGCACCATTGTCGATTAGGTCCAAGACGTAAAGTCCGGAGCTTTGGCTCTTTCGGAGAAGGTCCTTGTCTTGGATGACGCAGTGAGATACGTCCAACACTTCTTCTTCTTCTTCATCTTCTTCTTCACCATGGAAGTCTGGAATTGGAGATGATGCGTTTCTGTGAAAGAACAAAGGAGAGAAGAGCATTCCAATCCCATTCCTAATCCGAAAGAGTGGTGATGTTGATAAAGATACATGCTTTCGCATTATCCCAAATGCCGAGTGGCAATCACCACAAACTCTGATGTTCTTCTTGATCCTGATGGTGGATCCAGGTGGTGTGTAAAGAAGGGAAAATGCTAGAGCAAGCTTCTCACTATGGTATTGCAACTTCGATTCCCTCTCCTGCTGGTCAACAAACAAAAGGACATGACTAGTGTCCGGGACATAGCCTATTTCCTTAATTTTGCAACATATTTCCTCCCACTTCTTATGGATCTCCTCTCTCTGTGGGTGGGCATCATCATTTGCCACAAACATATGGACAGAATTCTCAATCTCCACCCAACTACAAGCGGGTTCTTTCTTCACACCGCTCTCTTTCATCATCTTTCTAACTTTTGCAGCCTCACTCCATCTACCAGCAGAGGCATAGATATTGGAGAGCAGCACATGGGGTCCCGAATCATGTGGGTCCAATTCAAATACACGTTCAGCAGCGTATGCCCCCAATTCTATGTTCTTATGCATCCTACAAGCACCAAGGAAAGCACCCCATACAGCTGCAGTGGGTTCAATTGGCATGCCTTTTATGAACCCTTCAGCACGATCAAGATGACCAGCTCGACCAAGTAGATCAACAATTGTGACATAATGTGAAACCTCTGGTTCTATCTCATACTTCTTCATTAATTCAAAGTAATACTGTCCTTTGTCCAATAACCCAGCATGGCTACAAGCAGTGAGAATACATAGGAAGGTAATCGCATTAGGTTCAATTCCGGTCCTAAGCATTTCCTCAAAGCATCTGACAGCTTCCTTCCCAAGTCCATGTTGGGCACAAGCAGTAAGCATCGAATTCCACGAAACAACATCTCGTCTAACCAATCTATTGAAAACTTTTTTCGCATCCTCAATGCTACCTGATTTAGCATACATGTCAAGAATAGTGTTGCCTACAAAAGCAACAAGCTGTTGGCCAGACTTCATCATATGTGCATGAACCCATTTCCCTTGCTCCAAAGCTCCAATACTAGCACAAGCAGTGAAAACACTAGAATAGGTATAATGGGTAGGTCTAAAATCCTCTCTTTGCATCTTCCAAAACAAACGAATGGCATGCTCTCCCTCACCCTTCCTCGCATGCCCAGCAATCAGAGCATTGTAAGAAACCTCATTCTTGCTCAGCAAACTATCGAAAACAAACCAGGCTTCATCCATTAAGTTGAACCTAGCATACATGTCCACTAGAGAACTACCCACATAAACATTTGAATCAAAACCATAATTAACAACAAACCCATGAACTTGCTTGCCATCCCTGTCATTAGGCACAGCCCCAGCAGCCTTGAGAATACTAGAGAATGTAAACTGGTTGGGCTTGAAACCCAAACGAAGCATTTGAGGGAACAAAACAAGAGCATCAATGGGTCTATCGTTCTGCGAATAGGCAGTGATTAAGGCAGTCCAAGAGACCATATCTTTTGTGGGCATTTCATCGAACATTTGGCGTGCGTCGTCGGGACTGCCACATTTACCATACATGTTGAGGAGGGTATTGTGAATGACAAGGTAGTGATTGAATTGAGATCGGCGGAAGTGGGTATGGACGATCCGACCTTCTCGAAGCTTCCCGAGGTGGGTACACTTGTTGAGAAGCTTAGTGTAGATGGTTGGGTCTGGTTCAAGAGCACCATTGTCGATTAGGTCCAAGACGTAAAGTCCGGAGCTTTGGCTCTTTCGGAGAAGGTCCTTGTCTTGGATGACGCAGTGAGATACGTCCAACACTTCTTCTTCTTCTTCATCTTCTTCTTCACCATGGAAGTCTGGAATTGGAGATGATGCGTTTCCGTGAAAGAACAGAGGAGAGAAGAGCATTCCAATCCCATTCCTAATCCGAAAGAGTGGTGATGTTGATAAAGATACATGCTTTCGCATTATCCCAATCTACTTCTTCGAGGGAGACCAGAATTGTTGGAGTTGACAGGTTTCAAAAGCCTTCATGTTCAAGTACAAAAAAAGAACAAGAAAGGGCAAACTTCCCTATAGAAAAAGAGTGTGTTATGAGATAATTTGGGGGGTGTAAATAGAGTGCCCCACACTCCCAACTCCCTTACCCTAGTCAACGCACTTCCCCTTCCCCTTCCCTCTCTACACTGGACAACAATTAGGCATCTACCAGGCGGCCGTCCTCCAGGTACTTTCTTGATCTCTTTCTCTCTTCCCTCACTGCCCATGGCTCCACCATCCTTCTCTCTCCACACCTCTCACTATCCATGCACTCCACCTCATGGCCTTCATAGCCCAACCCCCTATGCTAATACCCTCTTCCTCCACCCCTCTTGTCCCTCCAGCTGGCCACTTCATGCCCCTCCTCCACCCCCCATTGTATTATTTGATTGTTTTTGATTAATTTGTGGGTTTATGTTGGGATGTAGAATTGATAATAAAGTTTTTGGTTTAAATTGTGGGAAAAAAATATAGATGTATGTGTACCTGACTGTTAAGTTTTCACAAAATTATGGATGTATGTTTTTGGTCCTCTCCTCCACTCTCAATTCAAGCCTTTACTTCAACCATTTCAACTCCACCAGCCTGGGCTGCCCATAAGAACAATTGATTTTTGTTCCAAAGTATATACATGAAGACTTGGTTTTTGGTCAAAAATTGATAGAAATTGATATCCGAATGAAAAGCACCAAAATTTTATAGAAACCATTGGATTCTCAATTTCTTTTCTTTTTGAAAATGCGAAAGAATCTTCTATATTCATTCTCAGTAGCCCTACGCCCTTCAGGTATGACTCTTTTCTTCAATAGACGGCTACATGGATTTGTAATTAAAAAAAAAAAAAAACTACCTTTTGTTTGGTCCTCTACTATATTAGTTTATATTGAATATTTTTGTCTAATATATGTTAATGCATTGCAAATTATGGTTAAAAAGATGTAACTATAGTCGACATTATTTGTCTAAATTTTTGTACATAATATTTGTAACCCTCTCCGTCCCTGCTCATAGGGGTTGTCGTTTGAACTTTGAACTTAAGAGTTACAATGGCTGCTGCTGCAACATTTGGTGCTACAAACACTACCACCGCTACTGCCGCCAACAAAGAGTACGATTATTATCGTTCCTTCAATCATGAGAAGAGCTCATGCTCATTGCTCACACCACCTAGACATCATCACAACTCTCCTCTTCGTAGTCGTTTATTTCCTCATCGTAAATTAACACCTATGACAACTTCTTCATTGGCCATCCCAGGTGAATAGTTTTAATTTTAGGTTTATTTTTCTTTTTAAATTTAATATGAAAACTATTTGTGTGTTAATCATGTCTATCTAATTTATTTATTTTTAGGCTTTTGGCCTAATGTTGGAGTGGGTGTGAGCAGTGAAGATGATCTTTCTCGGACCCGATCTTTGTCGTTCGCATGCACAACAGCTGTTCGACATTTGACGGGATCTCTTACTGCAACTGAGGGCCTTCGCTTTGCTGTGGTCAGTCTATTTATTTTGGCTGCGTGTTCATCTCGGAGTTA